AATTTATCTTTATTGTTGAAAGTGTCCACATTTTCCCCCACATTGACCCTCTCCACATATACTTCCCCCCCTTCACCGCACTATTATCTGTGCCCATGGGATATGGATATACACACGCATATAAGTTCTTTAGTTAATCTCTTCCTGCTTCTCCTCCCCCCTTCCCTCTGTGATTCATCTCACATGGAATACTATGCAGCTGCAAAAAAAAAGAAGGATCTCATACCCTTTGAAACGGGGGGACCTACAGAGTATTATGCCAAATGAAACAAGCCCGTCAGAGAAAGACAAGGATCACGTGAAACAGGCTATTTTTGATAGGACGGTTATTACAACCCTAGCAGATAAGTGGTGGGATCATCTTAAAATGCACTTATGCACCTGAAATGTGAGCAAGATTCTGGTGACTATAAATCACCTCAGACTAAGTTTTCTTTGATTTTTTTTTCTACATTCACATTCTTCTTTCTTCTTCTCCCTGTGGTGAGAATATTTGAGGTTTACTCTCTTAGCAAATTTCAGTCAACTGTACAGGATTAACTAAAGTCTCTGTGTTGTACATTGCATGCCCAGAATTCATTCACCTTCTCACTGGAAGTTTGTTCCCTTTGACCAGCATCTCCCCATTTCCCCCACCCCCTAGCCACCACTACCATTCTACCAGTTCGACTTTTTTCTAGATTCCATACACCTGCGATATCATCGGGACTTGTCTGTCTGATGAATCTCACTCAGTATAGGGTCCTCTGCTTCCACCCACGTTGCTGCAGAGAGCTGGATTTTCTCTGCTTCATGGACTCTTCGTAGATTCCACGGTATAGCTACAGCCTATCTTCTCCATTCTCTCGTGCACACGTGGGGCCTTAGAAAATGGGCCTGGGGCAGGAGTCTGAATTCCCAGCCACTCCTGGGTGCAGCTGGCTGCTGCCCGGACTCACACTCAGAGCTGCAGGGAGTTTGGCCTTGGAGCTGTTCTTGACTAGAGACTCGGAGGCTTTGCTCTGAGCAAAATTGTTTTACTAATGATCTGCTGCTAAGGCTGTGGGAGCTCATTTTAATTGTTGGTGGGAGAGAATCTTATTAAGAGGTAGCTTCTTGAGATTAAAGTTAGGCAAAAACTTTAAAGGACATCAAGTAAATTCCAAGAATCTATGTCTTCACATACTATTTGGTTGTTTGGTTTATTTTTAGCTCTTCCCTCCAGGCACACCAGGTTTTTAAGGGAAAATAGAGTGAGAGACAGAGAGAACTTCACAGCTTCTGGGCAGAAACCCTGGCCCGCAGGCAAGCAGCTCTGTCAGTAGTTAGAGGAGGGACCTAGGCCAGTCCTGCACAGGGCGTGTGGCAGGGGTGTTTTCAGGTTTTGCTTGTGTGTGCCCTGATACAGAGGTTAAGGCACCATTCTCTTCCTAAGAAGCAATCCATACTACCAGCAAATTTAAGGATTTCTATGGGCAATGTTCCAGTTTTCCTTCATAAGGTGTAAATTGTATTTTCAAATCTGCCAGCTCATTCCTGCCATCTGAACGCCATGTCAAGATCACTCTCTCCCTGCCCTTAAATTCCACAGAAGGAAAAATGTGAGCACAGACACATCAAACGCATACCTGCAGGAGTGCAGCGGCCAGCTGGGCGCCATTCATGGCGCTCCTGGGGACCTGCCTGGACGTGCTGTACTCCCGGCTGTGCTCTAGGTCACAGCATCCAGTGAGGTGGGCGTGTCTTAGTGACACAGGGCAGTGATGTCTCCCCACCGTCTCATCAGGAGGCCTGTGGTCCTATGCAGACTTGGGAAGGGCCCTAGATTCTATTTCTATGGGCAAGTGCTTGCTTTCCAGTTATCCTTCCCTTGATGTAATCCAAGGAGGTTCAGGGGGAGTACAACAAGATTAATAAGCAACAGGCACATCTTTTCACACTTTCCTGTGGTGAAGGCATAAATGAGCTGCTCTCTGTTTCAGTCCACACATATTTGTTGTTTGTGGTGGTCCAGACAAAGCATTGTTCAGAGTATAAAGAGATACACAGAAATAGTCCTGATCCCTGCTCTCCCGAGGCTTACAATCTAGAGACAGCCTCTCTTTGTGGATAACCAGCAATCCTAGTAGGCTGTGGACACTGTGAGGACAGCCCAGTGAGCGCAGTGGATCTGACGGGGGCGAGATCAGGCAGGGCTGAGCTGTCTGGGGCAGGTCAGGGAGGCTGTGAAGGGCAGAGGGAGAGGAAAAGGCTGCTCCACGTGAGAGCGCATCACAGATTGAGTCACAGGTTAGGGGCGGCGAGCCCGTCAGCACAGACTCATGGATAAATGGGGATGAGGCCCAGAGGCTGGGTGGCACCTGCATAGTCAAGGCTAATGAGTTTGACCTTTATCCTTTGGCAACAGAGACAATGAGAGGTAGGAGATAATGAGTGCCATTACAAGAGTCGATTTTGGAAGATTAATGGGTAGAGCTACGTAGAACTGAATGCAGGGGTATTATAATTATTAAGCAGAGCAAGGGATTGAGAGATTTTTAAGGTCCTTGTACGCAGAGTCTGAGATCCTAAAATGAAAGGAGGAGCAAAAATTATAAGAAATTATTGCAATAATCCATGGGAAGGGGAAGGAAGAGGTGATAGGTTTTTAAAAATGACTCACTGAATACAATTCTCCACTGAATTCTGAATCTGTTGAGAGAAACTAAGACTGGGAACAAGAAGGCCTGGTCGGATACACCCTCTGTCCCCCAGTTTGGTTTGCGGCAGATCTCACCCCTTTAGCTAACTCACTCCCCAGGCAGCAAAACATGCCAAATATGTAGCCTGGCCCTGGTCCTGTGAAACTCAGACACTGATGGCTCAGTCTGTGCCTCAGCAGCAGATGAAGCGATGGAGGAGGCTTGAACAGCCATGTACACTTTCTGATCAAAGCCATTCAGAGGAATGACCACTCTTTTGTCTTGAGAAACAAGATTCTGAATTAAGAGGTTTCATAAGCCGACTGACCACAACCAAACTGGGAAATGGATGTTGAACAGACAATCAGGAAATTGCTCTCAAGCAAAGACATTGAATTTAAAAACCAGCTCTATGTGCTTATTCACTATTAGAGATAATTTGTCCAATACACTTATTTTAGTTGGCATAATTTTGGGGATTCCTTATTATAGGGAACAAATGAAAACAGATGGACATGGGAAATAATAAACCCCGGTTACAGGCAAACATATTAACTGAATGAAGTAAGTATAATAATTTCCAGAACATCTTTACTATGGTGATAAGATATCTGGTTTATATTTATAACTAAAATGACCATTCCTCTTCTCTAAAGCTTAGTGATGTTCAGATCCATAAATAAAGAAGGTGTGCATTATTATAGTTCCATCATCCCAAATCCAACTCCATTGTCTTTGTATCTGACCAAATACAGCTAGGAGCTACTATTCTTGGATTCAACAGCAATACACCTGCCCCCCAAAAAACAAAAAAACAAGCAAACAAAAAAACCCCACTTACATATAAAGTTATTAGACTTCATGCATTGAAAAAAAACCCAACAATTTGCTGAGAAGCTAACATTTCATGAGTCCCCACCAGGAGCCGGGCCAGTCTTGGGTGGTGGAGGGGGAAAGTTTAGAAAAACAAAAGACAGGCCTGGTCGCAGAGCTGTTCACAGTCCAGGCTCCGGTGCAGAAGGCATGTCTTGGTGTACAATAGTTGTGCACAAGTAACAGTGGGGACAGAAGTAAGTTCTAGCAGATTACTTGTTCAACGTGCTATCAGAAGATGATGTACAACAACGAGGTTACTCCTGACGGGGAAAACAGGAGTCCAATTTGTAGTTTGGGGGAGAGGGGAATGGCATTTAACTTGAACATTTTAATTTAAAAATGTTTAAAGTTACCAGACTCACAGGTACAACTCATAAACAAGCTATCAATGATAAATTAACCCAGAGAGCCCAGGCATCTGTGCTAGACGGAGGGGGCACGTGCTCCCAGGTCCAAAGTGGTTTCCTTAGGGCATTTCTATGCGAGTGTCAAAGCCTCTCTAAGGTCAATTCAGATTAGGAACTGGACACGAAACTGCACCGTTGGTATGCTCCAAGTTGCCAAATATATACAAAGAAAAGCTGAGAAAGCAATACCCCCAAAGTATTAACCCTGGGCACTTCTGAGTGGTGAGAATACAGGTGACTTTAAAATGATACACGTATATATTTGTAACTGTTTATAGCGTAAATTTTCTCAATAGACTACTTATTAAGTCCATTTTCATGATTTTTAGGTCCTCGGGTTACGTTGGAGATCCGTTCCTATGGCGTGACGTAATTGGATTTTCACCGAAAGTCTAAACCTACCTCCACAAGCACCTATGTCACTCACATGGAGCACACACACAGCAGTAATGAAGTGAAACAGTAAAAAACAATTTAAAAGAAAGATAACAATTCCTGAGCTTTACTTGTGGTAAATAAATAATAAAAAACATAAATCACATATGTACGTTGAAATGACGTAACTATTTTGTTTTTAATAAATGGGAGATGGCGACATAACCACAGAATGACTTACATCGAGTCCAACATAATCCAAGGACTGTCTGTATATATGTTTTATTTATTATTATGATATAAATCAGTTTTCTTATTGCAAAAGTGATCATATATATATATATATATATTAAAAGAGCAATATAAAATTATAAAAAGAGAAAGCAAAAACCTTTTTGTTCCACTCCCCAAAATAACCTCTTATTTTCTTCCATAGTATGTTTGCTTTATGCATATACAAGGGACATGTATATTATTTTCATAATCAGAAAACTCTTTATAAATCCTAGCTAAATTGAAATAGATATTAGCTGCTTCCAACTCTTTAAAAAATAAATATCTCAGTGACTAAGACGTCAGTGATATCGACTGTCCTTTACATAAAACAGAAGCACCAGGAAGCACTTAAATGATTGGCCAGACAGCAGGACATGTCTTAGATACTTGAGGAGACGAGTGGCTATTACAGAGGCCAGTGAAAAGGCACTTTGATGAGAAAAGGCTTCCTCAAGCGCAATTTCTCAGTGAACATACCACCAACACCTTGGCCTACTCTGCATGTGGCACCTCCGCTGGTGGCACCTGATGTCCAGTTGTTCAACGTGCTATCAGAAGAGGCGCCACGGAGTGGAGAGTGAGGGAATGGAGTGTGGGAACAGGTCCCTCCATGTAGGCACTGACCTAGTTTGTGAGAGAAAGCAGGGCCAGGGGAAGGCTGCTCGCAGGCGGCTGTCCAGCAAGCTCTTTCCCCACCTGCTCTCACTAAAGCTCTTCTGGTCAGACGCTCTGTAAGGCCAGCAAAACAAGACCAAACCACGTGCACTGCCAGCACCACCCAGATGCAGGGGCCAAGGAGCTGGGGTTCCTGCACAAGGAGCTGGGAACAGTGCAGTGGGAGCCACATCCCGGTCCTGGGAGGTCGCCATGGCAACATGCCAGGAGGATTAGGCACTGCTCCTCACTTCCTGCAAAGTCGTACACGGAGCAGGCCAGGCGGAATAAAACCCCGTCTTTGGAGCTGGAGCTGGTGGAGACAAACCTCCTGGTGAAGGTCAGAGTCCTCAAAAACAAGACAAGGCAGAGGCGCCGCAGAGTGGGCAGTGAGGGAACAGAGAGTGGAAACCAGTCCCTACGTGGAGGCACTGGTCTTGTGTGTGAGAGAAAGCAGGGCCAGGGGAAGGCCACTCGCAGGAGGCTGTCCAGCAAGGCGGGCTTCAGGGCTACCAGCCTGCTTGGGACTCTAGGCTCCTGGGGCCACGGGAGACACACGGGCAAGGCAGATCTCAGCGCTCTGGACGATAGCCGCTTTCTGCTTCTGTTTAGTCATCAGGTTTGGGGGGAACCACACGCGCAGCAATGACACCACTGCTGTCTGCGGGATGCGGCGTCCTCACTGGCGATCGAATCGGTGAAGCCGCATTCTCCTCATTTCTTCCTCTGGTGTTAGCCGGAACCCATAGGACGGGGGCGTGTTCCTGCTGTTTCCTGCCAGGAGAAAGCACAGGGAAGGTCACACACAGCCCGTCCACTGCTCGGGCATTTGCAGGGCGCTGCACCCTGGGAGTCCGAGGGGGGAAAGGGCGTGGCATCATCACTATAGCACGAAACAGAACCAGAGCCACACAGCATTTCAATATGAGCTGTGAATGCTACGTTTCAACATCCAGCCTATGAGCCTAATTTGACTCATTCTGAAGCTCCCTAACAGTCTAATGATTTTAATTATTCCTTCCACCATGCTCCATCATTAACATCATGTAATGTCCCTAATGTCTCAAGGGCTTGGTTTTATTTATTTGTTTTTAATGCACAGAAATAACTGGTCACTGTCTATGTCTTCCCGCCAGGTGTGCTGGTTGATTTCTCTGGATCAGCCCCGGGTCCTCTCTTTTCCTCCTGCTAACCTGCGCCTCCTGCCCCGCCCAGCCTGATATGCACAAGCTCCCTGGGGCATCATGGGCCACAGCGCAGGGACTGCATTACCATAATGACCAACATCTGGGCAGGCAGACAAATGTGCAGGCATAATGTGTGAAGGTCATATGAAGGATAATGGAGATCATTACTGCAAAGGGTTTCTTGGGGCTACAAACATACCCAAAAATATTGCTTCTGATGATATAAGCATTTCAATCACCACACACACACACACACACACACACACACACACACACACGCGCGCGTACATACACATTTTCAGGCATTGTGGAGGAATGAAGGAATAAAAATAGGCAGTCTTTGACCCCAGGGCACCAGCAGCCTAAATCTACTGAAAGAGACTCAAGTCCCTAGGAGGCAGGTCAGCCCTCCATTTTACTCAAAGAAACAGTGAGCATGCCTCCAGAAACCTGGGGCCCACCGCCCAGTTTGAGATTATTTGGCTCAATTACAGCCCCAGTAGTGAGATCATAAGATTTATTGATCCGTGGCTCAGTCCTGTATCCTGCTGTATAATGCAGAAACCCCTGCGTTTTACATCTAAGGGAGGGGAAGCGATCTCATCCTGGTAGGAATTGCCAAAACATGCGTTGATGGCTGTCTGCCCCGCTGTCCGCCACCCCTGTACGTAGAGACGTAGAGACAGTTAACGTGCTGGTGTTCATGGACCTGCTCATGGCCTGATAAGCCTGTACCGTCATTACACTCAAGTGAAGTTGCAGGATGGCACACTTTTCCCTTATGTTAGGGAGCTAAAGAGGCAATCGCTTTTTTCATACGTATGTTTTAAAAATCAGGGACCCTCAAAAGTAAATCAGTGGTCTCTGAGACTTTACTTATCCAATGAGGGTAGCAGTCTGGGACCTACATTCTTTCAAAATGTTACTTGATTAGAATTTCATAAATTACAAAGCTTCCAAAATTCCTTCTAAAAAAGATGGTTGTTAAGTCATTACTGATGAGGATGGAGGAAACCTGGGAGGAAGCCCAAGTCCAGCATGCTCCTTAAAAAAGAGAGGTGTGTCAGGACAGCAAGACCACTGACTCTTTGAGTCACTAAGTATCGTTGTCTATCTACCCATCTCTATCCATCTATCTCTTTAAAAATAGTTTGGCATTCACCTCGAACTTCCTAACATTCATACAAATGGAAATTGATTGTGGTTTATAAGGAAGATCACATCTAGATGTGACTTGAGAGAGAAAAATTCACATCTCCACTCCTCCACTATCAAGCCAGCAACAGTGGGGATTTCTTAGTTATAAAGCACAGTCCAGAGTCTTAAAAGGAGGAGCGCTGAAACAGAGTTCACATTAGTTGCTACTTTACCTGTTGTACTTTTCTTCCTCCTGGTTAATTTGGCGGACCTTTAAGGGCCACAACTGACTTAAAATCTGACCTGCACTTAAAAATTCACCAGGACCTTGGACAAGTCCCTCTCCTCCCTGGGCCCCAGGCTCCTCTCCTCTGAGCTCAGGGGGCTGGACTAGACACTTTATAACTCCGCTCAGAGGGGCAAGGTTCCCGACTCTTTTCCCGGTGAGATGTCAGGGTCTGCTCACTGGTGATGGGAAAGTGCCAGTGGCACACAGCAACCTGCCTCCTCTCCGCCCCTTGGCTGGGTGGCTGCTCCGGGGGCCCTGCTGCTGGATCTCCCAGTCTGGCTGTGAGTCCTGGTGGCTGGGCAGGGAACCGTGGCTCCCTGGCAATGCTCTCAAACACATTTGGTCAAATTCAGTGCCCCTCCTCCCGACATTTTAACTTTTAATGAACTTTTAAGTTTGGGATAAGTTGAGGTTTGTAGAAAAGTTACAAAGATAACACAGACAATTCGATTTCCCTGATATTAACTTCTTGCATTCTCATGAGTAACTGTCAACCAAGAAACCACTGACAGATGGGTACGTTACTAGTAACTACGTTCCAGACTTGATTGGGATTTCGCCAGTTTTCCACCAATTCCCCTTCTCTGTCTCAGGATCCAACAGCAGTTAGCTGCCATGCCTCCTTTGTCTCTTCAAGCTGTGGCCGTTTCCCGTGGCCCTGACATCTTGGAGGGCCAGCCTGGCAGTCTGGAGGATGTCCCTGGATTTGGTTGGCCTGTTGTCTTTCTCAGGATGAGTCTGGGGTTGTGAATTTGGGGAAGATCACAGGTTGAGGTGCCCTTTCCTCCCCATCACACCAGGGTCATGCTATCAGCAGGCCTCCTCTCTGGCACTGCCACCAGGAGCACTGGCTTACAGAGAGATTACCAGGTTCTCCCATCTTAAACAGTTTTGATGAGTTCTGAGGGAATAAAGCTTTGACCGGCAACACCAGCGGTTACAGGATAAACTGGAAGAAGAAGGAGTATGTACCTCCTGCGGACTTTGTCACTCCCCTGTTTGGGGGTGAGTAAGACATGGTGGGGCCATCCTTGACCTCCAGGTGCTGGGTTCCAGGCGGTAATTCTCTAACGCTGCTGTGAGCGCATGACTTGTTTGAGACAGTTTCCCACTCAGTGGGCTGTGTTTATAATGCGCTCCTGGGTGATTCTGACCTGCGGCAGCTCTTGGAAACCACTGAGTTTACATAGAGCTCAGATTTTTCTTTCAACTGGGTTTCATTGCAGAACCTATACTTGCCAGCAGGTGGGACCAGAGGCCCAGGACGCTGTATCTGTGGGAGAAAATGAGGACAAATTCCAGCCAACAAAGCATTCCACCTCCCAAGCACAATTAGGGTTGTTTTGAAACAGATGGGCTCCACAGAAGCTGCCGCAGCCAATGTTACGGAGCTGTTTATTGTCTGGATGGTCTGAAACCTGGGCAGTATTTGCCAGCGTCTAGCAGCTCCTACGTCACACCGGATTTCTCTCAGCGCAGAGACAACGGGCAGGCAGTGGGAGAGGGAGACAGGCTGGGCATGGCTGTGGATGTGGATATTTTAACCAGTTCTAGGCCCAGGATTCACTCATGCGAAGGCGAACACGGCCCTGCCCAGTGGAGGCTTTAGCTGGAATGACCTGTGTCGCTCTGACTCCACCTTAGAAGAGACACACAGATACAATCTGTGGTAATAAGACAACAAACCCTGGATGCAATAATGCTAAAACTGATTTCTTTTGAACCTAAGCAAAGTGGCTGTTTACCGGTTCACATTCTCACCCACTGTCCCCAACCCTTCCCCTACTGCCCCTTCCTGAACCAGCCCAGCGGAAGACAGGAGGAGGAAGTGAGGCTGAGAAGTGTTTGCAGGGATGTGCCTGGTGCCCAGGATCGCAAACCCCCTGCTCAGACAGGGATGTAGAGGGACACAGCTGATGACATTTATACCCTTTTTGTTTTTGTTTTCTCACTCCCTTCAGTTGAGTTTCAAATCGGAGACAGCCCAACTTCCAGCTCTCTAAGCGAAGGCCCAAGATAATGTTTTCACTACTTTTGAAACCATGGACCATCTGAAATTGGCCCATCTTTCTCTCAGGAATCTCAATCTTCTGAAAACACCCTTTAACATCTGGGCATGAAAAAAAAAACAAAAGTAAACACCATCCCAAGAAATCAAAGAATAAGGAAAAAAAGACAGAGAGTCCATAGGAGACTTTGGGAAAAGGGCAAAGAAAACTTAGGTAGGAAACGGCTGATGGAAGGGACCACTCAGGGGACAAGTCCAGGTCCCACTGGATGCAGGTAACCGCACGTCAGGGGAATCGATGGCCTCGGGGCAGGAAGGGACAGCTGACCCTTAGGCTTGGTGATGGACTGACTAGCAGCAAATCCGGTGAGCCAGGTAACAGGTCCCACCCCTACCCAATGCGTCCATGTCTCAATCCTGCACAAACACAGCAAACCAGGCTCAGTACACTGCACACTGGTCCAGAGCAGCCAACCAGACCCTCAGGAGAGGATGGGGAGAGGCAGGTTCTAGGATCTAATGTGGGAGAGTCCAGATCAACGTCTGGTGAGGCCCAGGAATCTGCCTTTCTTTCTTTCTTTCTTTCTTTCTTTTTTTAAAGATTTTTATTGATTTCAAAGAGAAAAGGGAGGGGAAGAGAGATATAGAAACACTGATGATGAGAATCATTGATCAGTTGCCTCCTGCACGCCCCTTTCTGGGGATCGAGCCCACCACCTGGGCCTGTGCCCTTAATTGGAATCAAACCCAGGACCCTTCAGTCCGCAGGCCGACTCTCTATCCGCTGAGCCAAACTGGCTAGGGCAGGAACCTGCCTTTTCCACAGGTACCCCCATGAGTCTGGCACTACCGGCCAGCCTTAGGGACAGTGGGACTGAGTGAATGCAGTCATGTGCTCTGGGGTTTTGTGAGGCTTTGACCATTATTGGCACCAGCCTGCTGTCTGGTTCTGTCCGAGACCCTGGTGGTTTCCCAGGCCATGCCAGGATGTCCCACTGCAGACACCACGATTTTAAAGGTTAGAGAGCAAAGCAGCCCCCTCTTCTGGAGAACAGAGTAACGGTGCCCTGGAGATGCTGGCCACAAAGCTAGAAGCGCTCGATCCTGGGAACCAAGAGGTTCGTTTCTGGATCTGGTGCCAGGCACGTGGTGG